AGCAGGAGTTCAACCTGTTCTGTCATTATACTGCTGACACTGTACAACAGGTTGTATCGCATTGGCACTGGCTTCCATATGTCAGCACATCTGTGAGCGGTCAACTCAACCAACCATCTTAAAGTCCCCCACTTTTGCCAAGGATCTTGCTTGAAGCATATTTTCAAGGAGACAAGAGTGCACATCTTTTAGTTGTCAGATTTCTATGTATCAGCATGGATTAATTCCTTTTTCCTCCCGAATACTAGTTTATAAATGTAGGAGTTTTCCAGTAAATGCATTATGTCATATGAAATCCCCTCCCTTACACTTCTTGTTGTTTTGTTTTTATTTTGTGGCCTCCTTCTGAAGACAAATTTACTAGCATGAAATGTTGTTCTATGGAACATCGGATATTTAGAATTATACTTGTTATGTAGAATTCAGCAGACACTAATGACCAATTAGCTGTATGTCAGTACTAATAATGACATCATTTTTCAGTCAAAATGAAGGACTCATATCTTCATAGCTTCTTTGCAATCACTTTCTCTGACATTTAAAGCGTCGCTTACATTCCCATCATCCTGTCCCCATTAAAATCCAAGCATGTAGATTTATGTAAGGCTGGATGAGGATTTAGTGCAAGCACAGAGAATGTAAATAATCTTGCCCACTACAGATGCACTGTGTGCTAATAAAATGAAAGATTAACTAGTGGTGCTCCATTGAAAACAGCTGTAGTTGGGTTCATTTTTGGAAATGGAATATACAGATAGACTATTTTGCCTTCAAATATCATTGAGGAAAATACTTTTAATCAGAAGTGACTATTATCTGGTGTTTATCTGTGGCAGGTTATGCTGTAAACTGCAAACAATAACAAAAGGCATTTTTGTGGTTTTTTTTTTTTTTTTTTACTTTGCATTGTAAAATTAACTTTGTGATGTGTTCCTACAATTAAAAACACCAACAAAAGCTCTCCTGTAGGTGTGATGGAGTTTTTCACTGCTTCTTTATCAAGCAGATATATATCTGTCTCTTCCTTTGCTATGTTTTGTAGCCCTGTGGCTGTGCTTCTGCGAGCAAAAAAAAAATCCTATTAGTATAAAGATCTAGCTTGTGTCAGTGCAGTAATTTATTCTGTCACTATGTACAGGAGCTATTAATATGGATATGTTGGAGGAGATATGCTGAATATGCCTTTTAATTCTCACTGTGTCAGGAAAAGAAGGCATTTCTTATAAATAAAAGAAATAATAATCATGTGTATAACCAGGCTTGTCAGACTTGCACTGATCTCTACAAAAGGGTTTTTAAAAAAAGGTTCATTGCTTTCTGGCTATTTAATGAAAGAAGCAATGAGAAAACTGTTGTAGGCAATTGAAAAGTTAAAATGTGTGCATGTTCCTCTAAATATGTGTGCAAGTTAATATCTCATTTAATTTTTGTAATGCAAATTGTGTGTTTTCTTGGATTCAATATAAAGGTTTAGTGCTTTTTGGAATGTTTTGCTTTAATAATCAAATTAATTGGAAATAAAACATTTGATGTGGATAACAGCAAAAGGCTGCATTTTAATAGTGTTAGTCCAAAGTGTTTCATTTCTTAGAGGAGTACTTCATGTTTGAATTTAGTGATATTATTGAAAAATTTGGAATTCAATGTTTAGGTTGACCTGCACATGCAAAAATATATAGCTTTAAAAATATACCTGCTTTGCTGTGTCCAGTTTTTCTGTAAACCTTTTCATAAAGCAGTGTCCTTAAGTCATTTTAATTATGAGTGTTATCAGCCTTCTCTCAAAGCACAGATCACATGCAGACGTGCTTTTTGTAAACGTGAACGTGTTGTTTTGCATGTGCAGGACCAGATTTATTGCACTTTAGGCACTGACCTTAGATTCCTAGCCACCTTAGCTCCTTCTCCAGTTACCGTGCTTACATCGCGCTTACAGGGAGCGACTCAGGACTTGGACCCTTCTATCACTGTACTGCATGGAGCCTCAGACTGCTACATCCTAACATGACATCTTGCCTAGATTTGATTTTACTACAGTAGGCACGTTGCAAGTCTGATGCTTTTTCATATGGTAGCCTTTAATTTCTGCTACCCACGAGCACGAATTTTCCAAAGCCAACCTGGGTATCTGTATCGTGTAAGTAGGAAAGAAGCCTCATCTGCAGGAATCCTAGGACAGCTAAAGAGCATGGCTGGGCAAGAAAGATTACTGTGTGTTGAGAAAATGCAGATAGATATTTACAGCTCAGTGCACTCGTTAGTCAGAGCATGCAATCTGGGGCTGAACGTGAAAACTGGCTCGAGATGCATTTCATAAAATTGAATAACCGAGTATGTGGTTGGTTTTTCTGTCCCCTCTGCCAGTTTGATCAAATTCCTGCTTGAGCTCTGCGCAGCCAGTTGTCTCCTGTGCTAGATTTTGGAAGATTTTTAGCACGTGGCTCAGCCTACACATCTTACTGTGCAGCAAGGGACGCAGCTGCCATTTGGTGGCATTACTGGAAATAAAACAGAGAAAAAAAAACACTTTCAAATCCCATTTTAGATGAATCAATCCAAGACTTTAATTAAAAATCTGAGGAGTAACTAGTTTGGAAAGACAGGCGTGTTTTGGCCAATAAATCATTGTTAATGTAAATAACAGATTATTTATGTGGAATATTTGCACAGTTTCACGAGGGATTGCAAGAAGCTAGAGATCCAAATTGCTGTGAGAAACTATTGTTGTCTCAGTACAGGTAACATCTGAAGTATCTATCCCCATACTCATAAGTGTGTTGTATAATGTTTATGTAATCAATACCTGCAAATTATGGTACTTACAGTGTATTTAAATACTGTGAGCAGTACACAAGGAATCAGCAGTTTTGAATACTGGTGATGTAGACTACTGAATGCCTGTGTCACAAATAGGCAAAACATCACCCCAGTGCAGTTGACTGGTGTGTTAGTAGAGTTTGAAACAGATGCTTTTTCTCTTCTGCTTTATGAGAGCCATGTGGATGCTGCTGGTGGTCTTTTTTTACTGGAATTGCCTTTGCTGTGTAGTCTTCAGTTTCCATGTGTCCAGCATAGTGAAGTGCAGCAGTAAATAATGGGCAAGTGCCAGTGTTCCTTTTGCGTCCTTGGGCTGACTGGCAAGCTGGCTGGCCTCTCTTGGTGCTGGTGCCAGGCACCATCAAGGAGGACAAACTGCTCCAAGGACAGGAGAGGCTGAGGGAACAAGGGCAGCACCAGATGTATGTTTTCTGGGGCATGTAGATTCTTTCTGTCCAGACTTTTAGTTTCTAGAGATGAAACGTACTGAAGTTCATCTTTTTTAAGATGATTTATTTCTCTGTTTAACCTGAGTAGTAAGCTTGTATTATTGTAGAAGGTGGGCTTGTGATCTGGACATTTCAGACACTCAGTATTGTCAGTCCAAAAGCTAGTGGTGTTACTTTTTATGGAAAAGCAGTGTCTTCATCGATTGCAGCTCCGATACATTATAGCTAGTGGGGATTTCCAAAACAAAGCGATCTTCATTTTGTCCAACTGCAGTGTGGGAAGGAGGGCTGTAGCACAGTTATACAAAAAGTGCTGCCATGCACCCCACAGACAAGATTGCAGGACAGCTGGAGAGTTGGAGCCCTGCAGCCTTCTGCTGTGAGCCCTGCAAATGCTCGGCCTGAGAGGCTGCTTGCTGCTGTGCTGGGGGGTGGCCACAAGGAGCTGCCCTGCAGGAACCAATTCTGGTGGGCTCAGGGCTAGCACGTGTGCCATCCATGCTTACAGGTGCAGCATGGGAATGGGCTTTAAGGGGTTTTACCAAAGCTTGTGAAGTACTGGAGGAATGTATCTCATTTTCTAAACTTGATTAACGGGAAGATAAAGAGCTTTATATCATGATTTTCATTTTAATGCCAGCTATTCCGATTAATAAAGGAAACTGTGGTGATAGGAAATACAGCAGTGTTAATAAATGACAGTAACACTTTAGATTCTTCATGATCTTCCATGATTTGTACGTATAACTTCTTTGGTGCACTCAGGAATTGCAAAAGATCTAGAATTTGTGATGCTTTTGTGTTCAGTATGCAGTGGGAGCAAAATTCCTGATGCACTTGGTTGTTCTGATGGATGCTTAAGAAAGGTTCCTTTGAATTAGTGTAGAGTGGTGCATTTTGAACCTCTGTCATCTGTTCAGTGTTGTTTTGTTTTTTTTTTTCTCTCAAAACTAGTTGGGTATACAATTCTTCAAGCAGCTCTGGGGAAAATTATCAGGTGTGTACACTGGTTTATTGCCTGCTTTAGCAGACCTGATAATTTTTGGTACCTGGACTCAAATGTATTGTGACAATCAAAAACTTTGAAGAGATTGTCCCATCAATGTCAGGATTTTTCCATTTTAGGTCTGAAGCTATGCTTTATTTGCTCCTAGTCATGCTGTACATTTTAATGCAAGCTTCAGATACTAAGTATTGCAGTTTATTAGGCTATAGAACAGGAGTTTGAATGTGGCTGTGGTGTGATTACCATGGCATATGGTTCATGATGTTAAAAGGTCCTTGTGAAAACTTATGTGAAGCAAATATAAGAGAAACACTTACCTGATGATATAAGAGCAGCTAACTCTTACGCAGGGAGTGTAAGCTGCAGATTAATAGAGTGGCTGGCTTGGAGCTGATCTGAAGAGATGGCTATAGATACTTTTGTTTAAGAAGTTAAGATTTATTTTTATTTGGATTCTGACCTGTGCATTTTGCTTGTCTGTGTGCAACCTTATAACTTCTCTTAGATTTCAAGGTAATCTTTTTCCAATTTAGATTATCAGGCTGCTTCTGTTTTGCTGTATGCAGACTTCATGCACATCTGCTGTGATGTGAGTTGCATGAGATAGCTGGAGTGTCCCATTAGGTCCAGTACAGATTGCATCCGTTTGTACCTCAGCATCCCACAAGAACCTGGCATAGATATTGTCTCTCAGTGTAACTGTAAATTCCTTACTGCTTCTGTTGCAGGGCCCCTCGATTTAAGGGATTCCAGCAGCAGGACAGCCAAGAGCTTCTGCACTATTTGCTGGATGCAATGAGGATTGAAGAAACAAAGGTAACACCTTTGTGTGTGTTAAAAAGTCAAGAAATACTTGCCTGTACTGTAAACTGATTGTTATTCCTCAGTATTCTTTGTGTTTCCATTGTTCTTCATGTTTTAAAGATGTCCTTTATAAAGAAGGTGTGGCTGTTTTTGTTATCTTGAGAAAAATAATGACTTTTTAGGAAGATGATGCAGTCGTGTTCATGTTGGTATCTTAAAATTGCTGATTGGAATGAAAGTTTCACTGAGCAATAGAAAGAGTGTGGCAAGTAGATCATGATGACTTTGGGAGTGTGAATTGTTCTTCATTTATTAAGAAACAAAAGAACAAAAAAGCCCCTTCTGAGGATTCAGGAAAAATGCCTGTGAGGATAAGCCTTGGGACAGAAATTAGCAGCTCCAAGAAGTGAGTCAGCCCACAATTTTCATAGAATCCTATTTCACTGAAAAAAGTAGAACAAAAATGAAATCTTGCAGAGTTTCCTTTATCTTAAGAAGGTGTTAAGAACTGCTTATTTTATAAATAACATGCTATGTTCTATTAAAATCTACGTCTGAGTATGTTAAGTATAGAACTAGTTGTAGTAAATGAAAAATGTTCCCCCTGTACCTTTTTTCATGTTTCTTTTCCTTTGTTGTTTCTACCTCCTGCATTGTTGGATACAAGATAGTGGCTTTTTGCTTGCTTGAACTATTTTGATTGTATCTGATTTCATCTGCCTTAGTCTTGGAACCTTCCTTTCTGATGATATTGTGGTAAATAACCTTCTTTGAGTCTAGTCAAAGGAAGGTCCTTAAACATTGTACTGACCAGCGTGCTTCTCTTCCGTCTCATTTCATAAGGCAGGGAATGTAACGATCCTAAGTTGAGTTCTTCTGGAAACAAAATATAAAGCTGTAACAGAGCCCAGTTTGTTACACTAGAGTAACACTGAATGAACCCTGACATCAGTGTACTTAACAATAAGCAGAACTGAACTGCAGGGTATAAGACCCGACTGTTGACATTGTCACGGTTACAGGATGGTATCAGTATAGGCACACCACAGAAGCAGGTGACTGCTGCTGCTTTTCCTATTCAGTAAGAGCAGTAGCTGTGCTTTTACAGTAGAGGGAAAGTCTTGCTGCTGTTTGTTAATTTTCATGTAATAAAAGATGGAAAGTATATTTGCTTCACAGTCGTGGATTTGCCAGAAGCAAGACCATTGCAGCCACTAAACTGCTTCTCTAGTCACCACTCTTACCCCTGCCATCAGTCTCTTGGCCCATCAGTGAGTGTGCCATCATTACAATAACGTGTGTTTTCGGTTGTCTATTGAGTCATCTGTTAGAGCTGGACAGCTATTGAAGCTACCATAAAAGGGTAAGGGGACACGCTGCGAATTCAAATGACCTTTCAGGCAGCAGAGCACGTCTGCCACCCTCAGCACTGGGCACATAAGGGCTGGTCCCACCCTTTCTGCAATTACACCCCTGTTTGCCTGCAGTGGTGCGTTACAGCAAACACTGACTCCGTCACCTCGGGCTGCTCGCCACGGGTCACGACTAGTGAAAGCTCTGTCTTTTTTTTTTCATCTTGTATCTGGAGTCTGTAGATTGTGTGACAAACAGAGTGGGTCAGGGCACGTTCTGCTCTGTGCCAGTAGGGAGCGGCATTGTCAGCCCTGGGAACTCTGCAGCTGCCCGCTGCCCAGCCCCACGCCCCCCAGCCCGCTGCTAGGGAAGGCTCCCAGCATGCTGCCTGCCACCAGAGCCAGAAGTGTGTCCAGCGACTGCCTGTTCTCCTGGGCACTGCTTGTAATGCTGTGCTCCAACAGAGGCATGCATAGGTGACAGCCTATGCTCTGTGCTCCACCTGCCAGAGGCCTGGCTGAGTGCTGCAGGCTGGCCGGTGCCCCTGCTGGGAGTCTTGCATTGACTGCCAGGGCTCTGAGGAGAGATGTGTATAGTACAGAGCATGACATGAGTTACAACAACTTATATAGCTCCCACGATTCACATTCCACTTTTGCCTTTTATCTGTTTTCCTGTTTCACGAAACAGCCTTCTCAGATCAGTGTTGAACTTTTTCCTGTCCCCGTTAGTGTATGTGTGTACACAAGTGGGTTTTTAAGATAAAAGGCTGTCGATACGACGATAAAAATTACATCCTGACCAGCGTACCCAGCAATGTGGGCTGGAGATTGTTTCACACCAGGGCCCAAAGTAGCTGAACCCTGCTGCTAATTGATTAATGTCTGCTGCCATTGTCGGCAGCACCCTGCCCATTCAAAGACTGTGTTTTTCTTTGACCTAAATAAATGGTTCAACGCACTAATCCCAACAAAAGAGTCGCTTATGGCCCTAGACCCATTTGTGGTGTTCAACTTTGTGAATTATCTATTGATTAGCCCTTTTAGTATATTGTTGGCTTTAAGATGAACAAAGCTGAGCTTGGGGCAGCGGGAGTTAATTCACAAGCCAGGTCACATACTCATAAGGTAGGAGTATGACTTATCCTGATGGGTGCCTGAACTGGAAACCAGACCTCTGGGGCTGCCTGCCATCGTCACGCTGTCATCGATGGCTTGAAAGTGCACTTTGCTGTCTGCAAACACAAGTTATTTGTTAGCTTTTTTCTGCTGGTGCACAGGTTTTGTGTTACTCGTGGAACGGTTGGTACCACCATTTGTTCATAGAAGAGTGCTTTGCTCTCTAGTTGTGACTTCGATACCATGTTTCATTGTAAATGTCATTTGCACCCTGACATGGGAAGCTGTTAGTGGAGTTTCTGGATTGGAAAACAAGTACGTTTACCACGAGAGGAAAACCAGGATTAGGCAAGCTGCAGTGTTCTCTGGTGGTGGAGTCAGCACAGTCCTCGCCTTCCTCCTTCACAGCTCATCACAGGATGGGCAGAAGCACATTTTATATGGGCACGTGCTAGCAGCATACACATCCAAATGACTCATAAAAATACCTCTTTATCCCAGTTGCAAATTGAGAAATATAGGGGAAGACTTCCCTATTTCAAGCTGCAACCACTGCTCACAAATAAGGATATATTTCTTTCTGATTCTTGTTTAAAAAATGTAACTTTCTGGGATTGTTTTTTTAATAGCGTTGCTGAATTTTATATGAATTCGTAGAAAGTTCTGTGTATGTTTGAAGATCTTCTGACATATCTTTGAAATGTACAGTGTTAGAAAATAAACAGAAGTAATAAATGGCTGAAGAAAGTCACAGAAGACTGGCAGTTGAAAGGCTGTTAGCTGCCCTTAGCTGCCTTTAAGTATTTTGTATCCCAGTCGATCGGTAATAGACCATTTTTCTGGCAGTATGGTGTTGGTTTTTTCCCCTAACTGTGGAAGAAATGAAAAGCATTTTTTCACTGACAATCTCATTGTTGATAGCCTCTACAGCTGCTCCTTTTTGCGGGGAGGAAATTTTGAAATGGTTACATACTGAAGCTAATAAGCTTGTTTAGCTTTGACAGTGTTAATGAATAACAGTAATAAGTTATGCTTCTTTTAATCATATATTAATAGTGTTTAGAACGTTTACACTGTAAGTACTTGCTCATTTTTTTTTAATTCTATTGCTATCTTTTACATTACAGCGTATACAAACTGGTATCTTAAAAGCATTTAATAATCCAACAACTAAGACAGCAGATGAAGAAACTAGAAGAAAAGTCAAAGGTATGAAACACTTTATTGAATCACTTTTAAAATGTAGAAGTTTTAAAATACCGTTTTCTTCAAAGCTAACTATAGCAAACAGCAGTCTGAAATTACTGTAGTGTTAAAATGTTTTATTATGTGTTATTCTAGTGCCCCCTAGCGCATATCTAAAGTATAGAGAGCAGCTTATGTACAGACTGTAGCCAGAATAAAAGTTTCCATTGTATTAGTAATGCCTTCTGTAAAGTTATATAGAATCTAGTTTTGCTTTCTTAAATAGCCTGCTGTTTGTTTGTTACATAGCCACAGTTACTGTATTGCTCAGAGCTGCCACTTAACATAAGCAAAAGTTGTTTCTATCAGGTGGCTGATACTGAGTGCTCGAAATACGATTACAAAACCAAAGTGGGAAGCTGTTTCAAAAGAATGCTTGTTTTTTTTTTTTTTAACAAGTTTAAAATCATTTTTCTTTTATGTATATTCAAAAAATGTAATACTTTTTGCTTAATTAAAGTCTAAATAATGATGAAGCTCTTTTGAACGTTGGCCTTCCCAAATCTGCAACAGTTGAGACATAGAACTACGTTCTTTTTTCTTTTTTTGTGTTTTCTATTGGCTTTTTTTTTTTTTTTTTAGTTTTATAGTTTTGAAGGCTGTTTAGAAAAATTGACAGCCTGTCTGCTGTTGTAGTGTCTGTATCAAAGCAATACAATACTGTGTATATACTATATATTAAAACTGAGATTATATTTAAAGGCTTCTTGAGAGATACTGTATGATTATTTTGTTATAGCAGGTGGGGAAAGTGAATATGAAGAGAATTGTATCACTGAATAATAGATGTTTTTAAATACTGACATACAGTATATGATGGCTTAGTTACTGTGTTGTGTTTAAAAACTTTTGAATATCTTTAATAATTATGCTTTCAAAATAAATCTTAGAATTTTGTTGTACTTTAAGTTTGGCATTGGATCTGTTATTTTTCACATTTAAAAAAAGGCAATGTTTTTTCAGCATATGGAAGAGAGGGTGTGAAGATGAACTTCATAGATAGGATCTTTGTTGGTGAATTGACTAGCACTGTCATGTGTGAGGAATGTGAAAATGTAGGTATTTTGGAATTTGGTTTGATGTGGAATAGATCACATACTGGTTTGATTACATTGTCTTGAAAGTATAAAATTGTATTGCCAATTTTATACTTGCTTGTTTGTCTGTAAAAGCAAGACTATTGACAGTTTCTCATTTATAATAATAACTTACTTACGCTTCCTTAAAGCATTATCCTCTGCAAACCTAAGAAGAGGGATCATTTGAATTCAAAGTGGTTTCAAATAGTGGGCTTCATTTTGCATCTAATTTAAGTCTGGAGGTTCCAAATTCTATAATTATCTGTGTTATACTACAATTTTTATTTGATATTCCTAAAATGCTTACCTATCTTAAAATATAAAACCTCCTGCCCAGTCTTCTGGGATATACCTGAAAAATGGGAAGTACTTGCTTTGAATTAGTATGAGTGGGGAAATGCTAAAATTACTTTATTTTCTTTGTGTTTTTTAGAATTAACATAATATCTCTAATGAACAGCATATTCCTTTCATAATTAATATTACTGACATTTCATCATAAATGCTTTCCATTATCCTTATGATTTTCTTAACTTTGGAAAAGAAAAATCTTACTTGCATGACTTTTTAAAACTTAATACTACATTTGTGTTTGGTTTGGTTTAAAGCATTATATTTAATATTATAGAGATTAAGTAAATCAGTCAATCTGAATACTTGAGCACAGTTCTGCAGTGCCAGGTAAACTTCCCTGTGTGTGATGTGCAGATTAAACTTCAATGTGCTTCTAGTATCAATGAAGAACTTCAGCTGTGTACCAAATAGGCATCGTCTGTGTTTTGTGCGTACCATTTATTTTTGTTGGGTTCTTATGTTCTGCCTGCACAGGACTCAGGGCTTGGCTAGCGGTAGCTGTATGAGGACAAGCTTAGCAGTCGCTTTCCTTCGCTTGCGTTGGCAAATATCTTTCTGACTAGTGCTTGTTCCTGAAAAGTCAGCCTCTAGAGGAGCCCTAGTTTGAATATTGCTCAACAGCCAGCAAGTCAACACAGTTAAGACAGTTCTAACCTCATTTATTGTTTTACTGGAATTTAAACCATGCTGAGTCCCTCACACAGTGGATAAATGTAAGCTTTTTGTTAAGAGGAGCCTCTGGTCCTTGTGTCACAGATGGAAGATAGGGTCATAGACATCAGAGAAGGGCAACGATGGCGGTAACTAGAGGTATGACAGTGTTCAGTAATTACGTACACACTGTGATGTTCTTTTTAAAGGCTTTCTTTTCAGTCTTTCATGAGGTAAGATAAATTAGTTTTGGAAGGAATGTGAGAATGGCAAGGGAGAGAGGTTAAGAATCAGGCTTGGTCTGGATGTTGTAGTCAGAAAGTCATATTTCCAGTTTCAGCTTAGAATTTATGTGGTTTATAGAGCAAAAAATAATAGTGCAGAACAGACAATAAGGCATTTTGCTGAAAATAAAAGCACTGCTTTTTCCCATTAATTGGCTTTATTTTGATAATTCCCAGTGTGTGTTGCAATATGAACATTCTAATAAAACTTTTGGCTGCAATCAATAAGCCTGACATCATCTTCCCTGTGAATGCCAGGTTACAGCTTGCCACCTAACTGCCATTAACCAGTTCTTGCTGCTGAACAACATACAAGATCAGTGCCTGCACAGAAATGTCCAGGTTCAGGAAATGCATAAAAGTTAGTTTTTCTTCCGAATTCTACTGGATTTGCTGTTTCTGCTGTCCGTAAAGTTGTGATCCATCTAGAAGATCCACATGAGTTGAAAATCTGTCTGGAGTTCAGAGAACCTGAGCATCACAGTGCTTCTAGGTGTGGCTTGTGCCTAGAGGAATGGCCTTGCCTTTGTGTCTGTGTGTTGGAATTCCATGCTGTGTTAGAAAGAAAATAAGAACTATTCTAAAATTCTAAAAGATAGGAAAAAAGCTTGTGGGAAGTTCTTCATTGTAGTTTGATACAGCTTGTAAGTGATTAGCTTGTTGTGTAGTTTCAGATAATAATTTGGTTTGAAAAAAAAAAAAGGTATGTGCTGAACCTGTGCGTAGTTCTTTGCGCTCAATGTACCTTTTCTCTTTTTCTTCAAGATTTCAACAGTAAAAGAACCTTTCATTGATCTTTCACTTCCTATAATAGAGGAGAGGGTAAGATACAGAATACGTGATAACTGTTGTTTTCACTGGATTGCTTTATGAAGATGTTTCTGTATGCATACGTACAGTTCTGATTTCAAACCTAGAAATGCACGTTTGTCTATAAACGTGTGCATACTGCCTGCTCATTATGTGATTTTTGTATACGTATTTATAGAGAAAAAGTCATTTTTTGATTAGGATGAATGACAGTGTTATTTACAGTATATAGATCTGAGATTAGTTTAACAGTACTTTTAGCATATAAATTGATTATAAAATTCTTCAGAAAGGTCCCAAAAGATAGATTCTAGCTTACTGGTTTGCAACTAGGGAGCTGAAGTGCAAGGTTGTGATGCACAGGATGTATGAGTTGGAGTGAAAATGGATAAACTTAGAAAATATTTGTTCTGGTGTTTTGTCATAAGTAGTTTACAGAATATCTTTGTTAGCTGCAGAGGGGCCGTATTCATTTGAGGACATATACTTAGTTTTTGTGTGGGGTTTGGAATTTTTATTTGGCAGTAAGATGATGGATTGAGAGTGGTTCTTCCCCATCCCTTCGCATGTTCACATAGATTTAAGGAGGAGTATTTCATGTAATATTTGGTCCATCATAAAATGTGCTTGTTTCCAAACACCAGTTTGGTTCGTAGCAACATAAGTTACTGTTTTCTAATGTACAGAAAACAAACCCACCTACATTAATCACTCCTGTGCCGTAAAGGAATGAAAAATAGGCATATATCCTTTCCTAAATTCCTGTCTAATTTCCTAGGTTGCAAAACCTGTGCCTTTGGGAAGAACAAATAAAAGTAAAAGTGTGCATGAAGCAGATCTTGGACAGTATACCTGTTCTTCCATCAGTACACTGAATAATCAGCCCAAAATTGTCAAGAAACATGCTTCAACAAAAGATAAGGTGAGAACTTAAATACTCTAACTAGCCAGCCATTTTGAGTTTGTTCTGAAGTTTCTAGGGCAACAGGAGACGGAGTATTGACACCTGCAATTGTTTGTTCACCTAGATGTCAGCTATTGATGTATGTCAACTACGTGGATTAGTTGAAAAATATTTAGCTAACTATTAGAAATGTGAGAGAGTGTAGTCATTGAGAACCATTAGATTTTCAATTACAGGATTGTGTTCGCAAGAAAAAAAAAGATCTGCACTCTAATTTCAGTTGATGTTGGTTTAGATTTTCTGTCCAGCTTTCCTTTTATTGTCCTCCTAATTTGTTTCTGGCAGCAGCCCCATGAATTGTAACACTAGCTCAGAGGGCAGGCAGGTCTGTACTGGAGCCATCGGAGGGATTAACTGCCAACAGGCACAACAAAAATAGTACCAACTCCAGAGATTCTTGGAAGCTGAGAGTGGGATTTCCATGGAGCATTTGGCCTTCAGTAACCCAAGCAGTTCAGTTTAGCCCCTCTGTCCAGTCCTTCCTGATGGCAGCAAGCAAATACACTAGCTGAACAGAACTGTTTGTTTTACAGATTAAAATTAATCTGTAGTAAGTATTGTTAATGGAAGTGGGGAGGGCTTTCAGTGTTTATTAATACTCTTTCTTTTGTTTGTTTTTTTTATTAGTAAGCCTTATATTCCATATATGATTATGGACAAATAGATTCTATACTAGAGGAGACATGGAAAATTCCAAAATAGAATGAGTAATAAAATTAACGCTGTTGCATAAAAATGTGACTAGTGGATGGCATCCAAAATTAAGAAAATAAAATATAGTTTGGATTCAACAAACTAGGCTAGACAATAAAATATAAGGGAGGAAACAGCTTTCAGTAAGAATTGATAAAGTGATACATGAGATGGCTGTCTAATTAGTGATTCTGTGTTCCCCCATGTTTTTGGACGTGTATTTGACATGACTTTATTCATCTTTTGAATGAATTTTGTTGTAATAAAGCATTAAAATTTCTAATCTAAACCAAGCTGTGTTGAATTCAGTTAGCATTTATTGACATTCTGTGACTTTTGTTAATTGGTCTGTAAGTTTGCTTGTGAAAATCCAAGTGTCCAGTGGGTGTTTGTGCAGGTAACAGAGTATCTGAACATTGGTTGTTATGTTTTCTTTCTGAAGCGAGGAGCTTCACGATTTTAAAAGTTATGGGAGTTGAGCACTGTCAGTAATTTCTGACAAGTTTCTCTCCCTCTTCTCTACAAAGAAAGTAAACACAGCCGAGACAAGTAGTCCTAGCAGACAGTCGTGTTTGGGGGTTTTAATGACTTCTTCATTTGGATTTTACTCTTTTTTGCTAAACACTGCTGCTTGCTTTTAAGTTCAAGGACTTGAATTACGAAGTAGTGTTCAGTGTGATTTTAAGCCCTACTTGGAAAAATATTTACAAATATTATTTGCCTTTTATGTTGACTTCATTTGGACTTAGTTTTAAGCTTTAAGGATGAACTTAAGTAACCGCTGAAGATTCCTTGTGAATATATTTAAGGAATAGTCTTAAGATAAAGATCTTACAAGGCTTCAAGTTAGGCACTTAACTGTGGTTCCCAATATGTTGGTACCTGTGACTCAAAGTGGGATCTGAAACTTCAAGATTTACATATGTAGGTAACAAAGACAGTCCAGAAGTCATCTCTACTAAATTGGAATATACCTGGCAACAGTTTTAAACTGAGTCAATTTAGATTGGATATCACAGAATCACAGAATCACAGAATCACCCGGGTTGGAAGGGACCTCAAGGATCATGTAGTTCAAGGAAGACGTTTTTCACTCAGAAGGAGGTGTGCTGGCACAGGCTGCCCAGAGAAGCTGTTGGTGCCCCATCCCTGGAGGCATTCAGGGCTGGCTGGGATGGGGCCCTGGGCAGCCTGATGGTGGTGATGTCCCTGCCCATAGCAGGGGATTAAAAATGGATGGTCTTTAAGATCCCTTCCAACCCGAACGGTTCTGTGATTCAGTGATTCTAAAGATAGTAGGAAATTCTAAACATAAAGTCATGTCTATAATTATATCCTTACTGCTACTTAGGCCCATGACCAAGTGTGCAGAAGGTATTTCTGTCCACTTAGCCTCCCTGTTATGGAAGCAGACCATGAAATTTACTTTCTGTTGTTCGTTCGGCCTATGGAAGGCAATGGAAGGAAAAATGCTCATTTCTTTAGGAAACAAGAATAAAATAAAGAAAGAATTGCAAATAACTTCAGATTATGGCATCTTAAAGTACTTCTAAACCTATAGTAGTCTTTTTTTGACAGCAAAGCTTTTTCTTCTTGCAGTACAAAAAAAAAAAAAATCAGCTTCAGACAAAGTAAAATATACAAGTAAAGAAACACGTTGCTAGAGATTATTTAATTCTGAGACAAGTGCCTGCAAGGTGAAATGAATTCTCTTCTGTAGGTGCTCATCAGCTAAGGCCTCTAGTGGAAGGCCAGCTTAAACATGAGAACCTTTTAGAAGCTTAAGTTAGATTAAAGGAATACTGCTTCACATGTGCCATCCACAGCTGTCGCTGTGATTGTAGGAGGTATTGATTTCACAGTAAGTATAATGGTCATAGTTGACTGGTATGGAGGTTTCTAATCCTATATTAGTTTAAACGGATCTTAAGGAGATCAAGTAGCTTAAGCATGTGAAAGAGGGAGAAGATAAAATACTAGATTTCATTTGCTTTGAATTTGTCATCTCTTAAAAGTTGTTTTAGATCACAGGTATGTTTTCTGTTTCTCCTGTGTACTACTAAAATGCCATAATTTACAGAATCAGTTGAACCAGGAGAGAAGGCTTGCCAGAAAAGCTTCCTCTAATGAAGAAGAAAGAAGCCCTGTTATCATTCAGGAAAGATCCAAAAAGCCAGAGCTGGAAGATAGCTCTAGTGTGCTGTACTCCAAAGACACAACTGTGGAGTCTGCCATGAATGGGAGTCAGACAGAGGGCAGCGAGAAGGAAGCCAGCCGTTCTGAAAGCAGCTTTGATGCAGACAGTGAAGCCTCTGAAAGTGAAAGTGCTTCTAAGCAAACAGCTTTTAGCTCATGCAGCCACACATCTGCTTTGCATGTCAACCACATCAATGTTAAAATGCCACACACCAAACCAAGTGACAGTAACGATGAGAAGATTTCCAGTGCCATATCCAAACTCAGTTTCTGTGATACTATAAACGAAGATGAAAAGTCAAGCTTTGGTGATCCAGGTTTATCGAATAATTCCATGTTCTCAGCAGACAAGTCCTCGTTGTCCTCAAACCCTCAAAACGCTTTTCAGACACTTTCCCAGAGCTATATAACTAGCTCCAAGGAGTGTTCTGTCCAGTCCTGCCTTTACCAATTTACCTCTGTAGAGCTGTTAATGGGGAACAACAAGCTTTTGTGTGAGAGCTGCACAGAAAGGAAACAGAAGTATCAGAAGAAATCCAACTCCTCAGGTAACATGCTAATACGTGAGCATTTCACGACCAGGTTGGATTGGGCCCTGGGCAGCCTGGTCCTCTACTAGATCTGGAGGTTGGTGGGCCTCCCTGTGGCAGGGGGGTTGGAACTTGATGATCTTTGAGGTCCCTTCCAACCCAAGCCATTCTGTATTTCTGTGAATCACTGTACAAAATTTTCTGTCAAAACCTGTGCCACCTCTGATGTTTCATTTTTCCACCATGGGCTTCCTCCTTGTGACTAAGCAGAAAATGCAAATATTAGAACGTAGCTGTAGGTGTAATTTAGCATTTATTCTGCAGTTGAAATATTTTACTTCAAGCATGTTAATTATTTTTTCAGGGGAAAAAAAAAGTGCTGGTGACATGTTCTCTTCTTAATCTGTAGCTAACAGCAGAGCTGCTTTCCGTGAGAGCCCCCATTCAGTTCCCACTGCAGCATAGGCCACAGCTGCCAATCCTGCGTGGTCAAGCCAGCAGGTTAGGAGGCATCCTGAGGAGGACCTTCTCTCTTCAGACCCTTCTCAAAGATAAGCACAAAGTGTGTGCTTTCAGTGAAGAATGGAAAAGTAATCTCTAGCTTAGTGGCTAGGACTTTGGCATGGATGAAGAGACCTGAGCTTTGCATTTATTGTCCCAGTGATTGTCTGTTCATTTCAGGTGAAATGCTTTCCATAGGAAAGCTGTAGGATTATGGCAGCAGATGCTGTATCTCAGTGTACACAGTGCCCTAGGTACTGAACGTGCTTCTGGTTTTGGGTCTGATTTGTGTCAGGCAGATCAGAGTAATGCTCAGGCTTGGTAGGTTTTTCTATTGAAAACAAGAAGAGTGAGAAACTATTTTTCTGTTACTCCACAAAATTTCTGTTGGAAAACATACACATGTGTAAAGTCATTGCAACATAAATCTGTTCTTCTGTCATAAATTAAAAAAAAAAAAAAGTTCTGTGTGATTGTCCTCACTTCACAAGTTCTTGTGATGTTCATAAATACAGAAAAGAAAATGGAAGGTGTCTACACAAATGCTCGGAAACAGCTGCTGATTTCTTCGGTTCCTGCTATTCTTATTCTCCATCTGAAAAGATTCCACCAGGTAAAATGCCCAAACCTCTTCTATTCCTCTGCTGTTCTGGTGGATGAGCAACTGTTTAAGTGTCATTGTGCATTTTAATGTTTGCTTTTTTTTAATGAAAGACTGTTCTGAAACATGCTTGTGGTTTTTTAAATCTCTGATATCTTCAGAGTGCATTTAGCTCTGGATACACAGATGTATCCAGGGAAACCTTTTGTGTGTCTGTCATACTTGTGTGTAGCATGCAGTATATTAAAGACATAATGGAGAATGTTTCAATAAGTTCAAATCTGATTCTTGGTTTGGTTTATTTTAATAACATAATAATACATATCAGCTTTAAAAAGCTTACTAGTCAAAGTATTTATCATACAGTCTTTTTTTCTCTTTGTTAAAGGCTGGTTTGAGTCTACGGAAAGTAAATAGGCACGTGGATTTCCCACTGATTTTAGACCTAGCACCATTTTGTTCTGCTTCTTGTAAGGTATGCATTTCAATCTCAATTTTTATTGTGCTTCTAACAGTTGTTATTTCCCTGAGCACAAGTTAACTGGATTGACTATAATGAAGATGATGATGATGACTATTCTTCCTTTCCCATAGAAATTACAGGCAGTGTTTTCAAGCAGTGTACTGAGAATGTTAGCTGACTGAAATTCCATTCATATCAATGAGTAGTATGAATGTTAACTAATACTGCTTAAGCTGTGATACCCTGATGGTTTTAGTGTCTCTAATGGTGTTAAGGACAGATACTGCTGCTTCCATGGCAACTGAATTCACTTAACAGACTCATGAGTATTTTTAATAGATGTGTTTCATCACTGGAAATACTGTAGATGTCGATCTGTTTTTTTAAAGTAATACTGTTGAAAGGTAAAGAAGATATTTGTAATATTTACTGTGAAATAATTTGTTGTTGTTTTCTGTGTTTCTGGGAATACAGAACGTTACAGATGGTGCAAGAGTGCTGTACAGCCTTTATGGAATAGTGGAGCACAGCGGGTCGATGAGAGGCGGTCATTATGCAGCTTATGTGAAAGTCAGAACGCCCTCCAAGAAATTACTGGAGCATATTTCCTCCACAAAAAACGTTCTAGGTATGTACAACAGAACTTCCTTCCTTCCTTCCTATGAGTAAAGCCAGCTTCTTTTCATTAAGATTTCGAACTGTTTTAGCTCAGAATGTTATTTTTGGGGCCCTACAAATAATTCTGTTTTTTTCTGGTACACGTGATGCATGACCTGCTTCTATGTCAAACCTACACACAGCTGAGTAAACAATAGAATTTTGGTTCAGTTATTAAACAGAGAATTGATGGAAAATGCTCCTATTCTTCCTAGTCAAAGCAGTACATAGCACTGCCTTCTAATTTGTAAATATTTGATAGATTTGGTATTTCTACTGTAAGAATTGAATCCACAACAATTTAATTTTTTTTTTTTAATATACATTGTTACTCATCTTACACATCTGTTAAGAATTGGTATTTTTTAATGCTTAAAAATCTGGAATATTCCGATTAAATGTGAGGAGCAAGATATCTTTCCTTGTAAGGCTTCTCGTGCTATTTGGCGAAGAGCATGCCAGTTCTTTTTGATGCTTTGGTCATGCAGAGTGAAATAAGATTCTGGGATACAACCTGTTAGTGAATGATTTGCAGAGACAATGTTGAGTTATCAGAGTATGTTAAATGTATTTATTGTTTCCCTTCACAAGGGAGCAAGAACCAAGCACACACTTTGTCTATCCTGGGTATTATCACTTTGCATTTGAAGCTCATTTCCCACAAGCACAGTGTTTCAAAATAATCCTTGGAACAAGTCTCCCTCAGTCTGAGGCTTCCCATGCAGTAATTACTAGAACTGAGTATGTCTTTTCTGTGCTGTTAGTTTCACACTGATCAGCTTTTGAAATGTGATTTTTTTTACTGCTTTTTGAAACGTCCATTGCTTTTGTTCGAGGATGATGTGAAAGACAATGAATGTGACTTCCTTCGCTGTTGCATTTCAGGTTTAAAAGAAGCCATGGGAGCATCAGCAGGACAGTGGGTGTATGTTAGCGATGCCCACGTTCAGATGGTTCCAGAATCACGAGTACTAAATGCACAAGCATATCTGCTTTTTTATGAAAGATTACTGATATGATTCTCAACAGTTTAATTACAAAAAAAACCTAACAACTGTAGTGGTTATTTAGTTTCTAATTTAAAGCTGCAGTAGAAAGAGTACCTGTAAATATTGTGCCTTTATCTTGCATAGAATTTACCATATGTTGACTCTGAAATTCAGTCAAGCTATTATAAATATCTGAATGGTTCCTTTAAAATATGCACTTTGTCACACATTTTAATTTTTACAGTTAGAATGTAAGATGATGTTCCATCCTAGTGAGGTCAGTGGAAACTTTTGTTGTTGATTTTAACAAAGATAAGCTTTCACCCATAGTTCTAGAACAGGTAAGAATAAAAATGCTGATAGTGTTAAGTGCCTGGATTTGCTGCTGTACAGTAACAATATAAAGTACTTGAACTGCTTTTCAATTGAGTCTTTATCCTTCCCATCCCTGGGTTGGGTGTCTGCTATTAGGATTTCTGCAAACAAGTACATGTCAAAGCGTGTAGCCTGCAGATGTAGTAATTTGGGAAGCAGTGTTTCCAGAACAGAACAACAATAGATGTCTCTGGGTAATGCTGCAGTGCACTTTCCCAATGTGTTGTTGGAAATAGGTTGGGAAAGTACTAAAATATTGCTTCTGCAGTGTGACAGTGTAGGTAGTTAACACCTGTTCAGCTGTCTCCAACAAGTGCTGGTAGAGCCGTGTACTCCTGTTTCAATGTAAATATATACTGTGGTGTGCATGTATATATTCTCTAAGACAAATATATACCTGTATATATGCACACCATAAACCCATCAATATATGTTGTCATTTTACCTATTAGGATAGGAAGGAATTGCAAACACTTCTGTATTTAGTAAATTTTCAAATTCATGATTGTGACAGATGTACAGCGTATGATGAGCTTGTGTATGAATATGTATGGGGTTTAAGTGTAGCTGGATATTTCTGTTACTTCTGGTTCCAAACATTAATTTGTTTATCTGTTCCTGAATATTTTTCTCATGGGGAGTAATAAACTATAAATTATTTTTGCACTGTGTGTGTGAGTTGGACAGTAAATGATGACTTGTGCCTTCTGATGCATCTCTGGACTTCCCTGTGCCATCCCTGGAGGGCAGCAGGTTTCCTAGCTGCAGAACTTCCTATTGTAGGCTGGCTTGTGTCCATTATTTTGACTGCCCAGTCTGTGATGTTACTTCTTTCAGTAATTTCTCATTTCCATCCCAGCTAGATACCGTTTAAGGTCAAAATCTGATGGTGATTTTGAAGCTATGTAATTATTTATTCAATAAGTAGTTGCTTAAATACAATTTGCTTCTATAATTATTACATGTCTGGTTGAGCTTGCAGTTCAGTAGAGAAAAACCTGCATTTATTTCTGTTTACTGTTTTCATTTATAGAAATGTTTTGCTGTGAAAAAGCTTGCTGTTCCTTTTACCATCTCTGTTATGTTTTATCATACTCGCGTATCTTTTCTATTCTCTAGTTCTCTTTCAGAGCTGCATTCCACTTGCATTCACCTCTTTGCCCAAGAAGATAACAGATTTGCTCAATCGAAACTGCTGAGGTATATTTTATAACAACAGTGTTTTTGCAGGCATTAAGAGCTAACTGTCCAGACAGACAGAATGAGCTTCTGGTCACTCAGGCTTTGAAAGGAAAAATTACTGTAGCTAGGTCAAAATTAGGCTGTACATCTTGGTCACCTCGGTCATTTTTTTATCTTTACCAATTAAAATTGTCTCAATTTACCCAAAAGAGAAACTAAGCAGACAGGTTTAGCTATCTGTATTCCAACTAAACACATCTTAATCTGTGTCTACGCTAAAACAGAAAAAACAAACAAAGAAACAACACAACAAAGTTTAAACTGGAGTTGGTTGAAATGTTCTCTTTTACCTCTCCCTCCACCCACTTTCCTCCTCTTTTCCTGAAGTTGATTGAAACTGAGAAATATTTTTGAGCAAGAATTGCAGCAACTAGTCACTAAATTTCACTTCTGTGACTCAGTCTTACTTAGAGACCACAGATGGGGTATATTAGACCCATCTTAAAGCAGAGACTGACTAGATGAGGTCCTGAACTTCGAGGTCTTGCTGACTTCTGACTGTGTATAATTACCAAACTTAAATATGTACCTATAGCAATGTCCCATTTTTTAACCTAGAACTAGTTCCATAGAGGGCAGAACTAAGAGAGAAACAGCAGAACAAGGTTTTCTTAGGCAGTATTTTCCTTTTTAGTGGTATTTTTGGGAAGCTTTCATTGAGGCAATCTTTGCTTCCTTTTAACCAAGGTTCACTGCTGTTTGAACTGATGAAATCTTCCCAAGTGATTAGGATGCCAGGAGGTATGCTGACAGGATGATTTCCTCAACAACATCTAGAGAACATTTTCTTCCTATTCGGGTATTTTATAGAACATGGTGGGAAAGAGACCAACCTTCCCTGGTCTGGTATTAAATGGGGAGATTGGTGGCCCTGCTTGTGGCAGGGGGATTGGAAATTAATGATCCTTGAGGTCCCTTCCAACATGGGCCATTCTGTGATTCTGTGAGACATTAAAAAAATCAGCACTTTTAACAAAAATGGCCACTGAAGCTTTTTCAGTTGAAAAAAAAAGCACTTTTAGCAACAGCCCCAGTCATTTCAGAGTTGGGAACAAATGTGAAAATATTGTAGAAGAAAACATTCTGTAAAAATAAGTCAGTGGATATTAGAATGAAGAATTCATGACTCAAGAGAATGCTAGAGAATAGAAAAGATGTGCGAGTTCATGTTCAAGTCTCTGTTAGAGTATCCTTCAAGACTGGAATTTGGCTGCATCGCAAATGGTTATACATAAATCTGCACTCTGAAGGCCTGTTACAGTTCTTTCTTAGGAACTGCAGAAGTTCAGAGCTCTCCTGGAAAATGGAGATGGACAATCCTATGTTTATTAAAATGCTAACCATGATTCTAGAGCCTATTTTCAAAGCCTAGGAAACAGTTTCCTAAACCAACAGATGTGTGCACACTACTGAAAAGCCACGGGTTTTCAGAATTTAACTATTCTTCCTTTCATGCAATCTTTTCCTGTTATGAGTACAAAAAACCTTTTGAAGCCTCCAGCATCTGCTCTTCCAGGAGATACACCATACCTTTTTTTTTTCTGGGCACAGCAGCAGCCTTCTTCCTTATTTGGAATAGCTTAGAAAGTTCTTTCTCTTTGTCTCATCCTTCTCTTTGCACCACTGTCTTCATCAGCTTCACTTGTTCTTTATATTTTGGCATTTCAATTAGCCTCTGCGTCAATGACTTTTCCTTCATCCATCCCTAACCATAAAACAATGCTTCCTACTCATCACCTGGATACCTTGAATTAGCAAAACTCCTATTGGAAGAGGTACTCTTAACTGTGATCTTGCCTCTCCCTGCCGCTATACTGGTTCTATCTATAGGCAGCAGCACAGTTATCTGAAATAAGCTGACTCCCAAGCAACTGACCACTCACACAACACTGCCTTCAAACCAGTGAGGAGAAAAGCAAAGTAAGTAACTGCCCACCCTTCAGTAAGAAAACTTAATTCAGGAGGAACGTGTGAGTTGCACTTGGAGCAACTGGAGCACCTACAAAAGTTTCTCCAGTGATGAGGCATCAATGCAGATGTCTTTGGCACTGTATGCCATTTACTGTATTTGGCTAAAGGTGACAAAAAGAATTACACTAACACCAATACATATGCAGACATAATGCCTGTATTAGCCTGTTCTGAGAATGTCCTACAAATACACTGTGAAGGAAAAAGAAAGGATGAGGGGAAGGCAAACAAACAAAAAGCCCTATGGTTCTGTGCCCAAGATATGTGCACTGTAATTGTCTTTGTTAAGAACATGAAATCCTTGCAGTCTGTCAAACCTCTATTCCCTATTCCCATCTGTACCTTTCAGTGTGCATCAATGAAGGGCTCTTGCTTGTGGATTTCAAGTAGTAGCAGGTGAGACTGGTTTATAAATTCATTAAAGGGCTAAGATGCCTTAACCACCAACTGCTTCTCTTTGGACTTCTTTCTTTCATACTGAAAACTGAATCATGAAGGGACATGAAACTCATGTGACTGTTCTCAAGGTAACGTGTTATAAAATTCTTATTTGAACTTACTGGTAACAAACTGAGAAAATTCTTAGGTGATCATTTAAGATGTGCTAAAGACATCTTAAATACGATTTCTATGTTGGCAAACATCAGCAAATCAAATTTTAGTTAAAAATAAATGATAGCGTATTTCACAAGACACTTTTACAGCAGGTTTGCTTTGCTTTGCTTTTTGCAGCAGGTTTTATATTCCTCAGTTGTCAGTAGCTGGTTTTTGCTAAGCCCTGTACAGGTGTGTTTGTACAAAGACCTTCATAGAATCATAGAATGGCCTGGGTTGAAAAGGACCACAGTGATCATCCAGTTTCAACCCCCTGCTGTGTGCAGGGTCGCCAACCAGCAGACCAGGCTGCCCAGAGCCACATCCAGCCTGGCCTTGAATGCCTCCAGGGATGGGGCATCCACAACCTCCTTGGGCAACCAGTTCCAGTGCGTCACCACCCTCTGGGTGAAAAACCTCCTAAGAGAGAACGAAAGCCAGATGAAGAAGAGGCTATTCGTCTTCAGTAGAATCAGTTCAGTCTTGGTGTTTTACAGTGGATTATCTTTCATCTGCGTCTATCTGCCATGTCTTCAGGTATCGTTTTGCCACTTGTGTTAGCTCTTTTTACCTCTCGCTTCAGTGTATAAATAAATTGAAAAAATAGGAAAGGGATTATTCAAGATTATTAGGAATTTTTTTTTTCTTTGTAAGGCCAAGATTATGAAATATATATTTTCAGACAGGCTGTTACTGCAAGTCAAAATGCTTCTTTGTGCAACGTTAAGGTGTCTACACGAATGGCATTTTTGTAATAAACAACTGTAATTTAACTACTTTCAAACGACTTGGTATCAATTCAGTCTGTACAAAGTGAGTACTTCTATGTTCACAACATTCGTATAAAACGTACATTTTTTGAAGCGCCAAGGCTGTTTCTCACATCCGTTGCAGCCTCAGGTACATTTCTGGTACAAAACATAAAGACGTGGTACTGCTGTCAGGGAACAAAAGCGCATTTATTTTGAGTAGTTTCTGACCCCCGGGCATCACCCCGTCCAACCCCAAATCGCCGCTGCGGGCCCGCCGCCCCGTCACGCAGCTGCACGGAGCAGGGCCCGCCCACCGCCGCGGCTGCCATGGAGAGCGCCGAGCGGCAGGAAATTGCGTGCTGCCCTCGCTAAAGATGGCGGTGGCTCGGCGTCTCCCGAGGCCCACCGCTGAAAGAGGGCCGCGCCGTTCCGTCCGTCTGCCCTTAGCAAAGATGGCGGCGAGCGGAGTTCCCGTGCGCCCGGCACGGGTCACCGCCGTGACGCATTCTGCTTCCGGGGCAGCACCAGCGGGCGCCATATTGTCTTGTTCGTGAAGACGAGAAGCGAAAAGAGGGGAGAAAGCGGCGGAGGTCACGGCGGCGCCTGTGGTGGGAGGCGGGGGAGCGCGTAAGTAGCGGGGTGGGCAGCACTCCCCGCGCTCCGGGGCTGGCGGGTGCCGTACCGACCCCACCTTCCGCCACGCACCTCCTCCCCGGGACGCACCGCGCCAAGCAGGGGGCGCGGGAGGGCGCCGAGCGACGCGGCCGGAGCTTCCCCCGCTCCGAGAAGCTGCAGCTCCGCGTCGCCTCCGAGTGGAACCCGCCCGCCGAGCCCCTCACCCCGCGCCCTCCCCCCGCCGTCCGGGCGGCCGCTGCGCATGCGCGGGGGGGGAAGGGGGGGGAAGGGAGGGGGAGACGGGGGGAACGGGGCCGAGGGGCGGCCGCCGCCTGAGAGCCCGGTTACCCCGTGCCACGCATGTGTCGCCGCCCCGGAAGGTTCCGGGGGCGTCCCGGGGACGGCGTTGGGCGAACTCCCAGGGCCTGGGCGCTCGGAAAACGCGTCCGTCTGGAGCGCCCCGCGCGTCGCGGCAACCCTCGGCATTGCGCTCCGTCGGAGCACTCCCGTTAGCGGTACTGGTGCACGCGGCGGCGCCGGTAAGGTGCCTGAGCGCAGCCCGGTACCTGGGCGGGCGCTGGGCGCTCCGAGCAGCCCCTGGTGCTGAGCCCGCCTCAGGCGCCGCTCCGCACTGCACCGCAGCGCCTGGCGGTGGGCTGAGCGGGGTGGGGGGCCGGGCCTCGGGCCGGCGGGGTTTGTCGTAGGTGGAACTGAGCCGGGCTCTAAGCGAGGGGGCGGCCGTTTTCCTTTCTGCTGTAAGAGTCACACTTGTATGTGGCTGCGTGCAAAACGCCTTCGCTGAACAGGGAGCTGAGTGCCAGCTGCCTTCCCGTGCTGCCTGGACACCTCTCCTGCTGTTGTCTCTCACCACGTTCGTTCTCCGGTAGAGCGGTCCCTCTGCTGTGGGGCTCAGTGGTTTTGCAGAGCTTTGCAGTCCCCCCAGCTCACAGCTTGCCACGTCACCCGCAGTGCTAGAGGAGACTTAACTGTGTTTGGCTGGCAGTGAGGTATGGCACTGTGCTGAGGAAACGCCGGTGCAGCAATACCCTCCCTGCTTGTCATGTCAGAGGTGTATGGCAGTCAGAAATCTGCCTTTGGCAACCAGTAACTGGCAGTGCATCTGTGGGCAGGGTGTATTGGGTGTCGGTGCTTTCAGTACCAACTGACGCGTTCCCTTGAGCTGCAGTTATAATTTGGGATAAAATCCATTTGTGAGCAGCAGGGAATAGCTGCTTATCTGCTTAGCTTGTGATTTCATCAGTTCATCAGTTGTTGATGCTATTTTTATATGGAATGCACTTAAAGGAGGAAGTTGCTAGTAGACTGTTTTCTTTGGGGAAAAAAAAAAGTGCTGTTGCATGGATATCTGCAGGTCTAGCATCAGGCCTTGTAGAGGAATATGTGCAAAAAATAATCAGACTTTTTTACTGATCCCAGTTTACAACTCAAACTGTTTAAGTTGCTTTGGTGTTTCTGTAGCAGGGTTTTAGCAATGGTTCTCCTCCTCGTGATAATCAAGCACATGTTTGTCCTTACGTCTTCAAAATGCAAAATATAAGTAAATGATACCCGAGCTGCGATATGTGGTCCTTCTGCTTATTTAAAAGGGTTGGGCTTCAGCTCAGTGGATATGTGGATTTAAGTTTAAAATAACAGCTTGGAAGCTACACTACTTGAATGACTCACTGTAGAAGTTCTTGTACAACTTTTGATTTGTTTTATTTGGCCTTTGTTCAACTAACCTCATTTTAGTGGTGCTGTAAACGTTAGTCAGACATGCTGATGTGTGAAATGGGTCCTGGAAGACTTTGTAGGTACTGAGTGATCTGGTTTCGTAATTCCTTTTGTGGTGTTGTGTCTTGGATCCTGGTGATGTCCTTGGAAAGCTTTTATTCTTTGGACTGAGAAAGAATAGATCCTGAAATCCAGCATTTTCATGATATGTAACTGTTAATGGGCTAGGAGTGTTACACTGCCCGTTTTGGTAACAGATCTCAGGAGAAACATCAGGGTAGTTTCTGATTCTCAGGAAGAGAAAAGATGGCATTAAGTACTTGCAGCAGCTTAGGGTGATGCTGTAGATTATGTCTTTGGCCAACTAAGAGGGAGATGAGTGGGAGTAAAAATCAAGACAGTTATTTTAACCTTTTTTTTTTTTTTTCAATTATTGCAATCTTAGCTTACTGCTTAAATGTTTCATTTGTAACTGGCAGTTGAATATAACGTAGTGGCTATTTGTTGTCCCAAACTGGTCTGTTTTTTTTGTCTCTGAATAATAGTACACATGATGTTCCGAGTTTGTCAACTTGATTGAACAGAACAGGCCCTATGTGAGGAAAAAGGCTCTTGCACAAAACATCACAGAAGCATAGAATGGCTTGAGTTGGAAAGGACTTCAGGGATCATCAAGTTCCAGCCCTCTTGCTGCATGCAGGGCCACCAACCTCCGTGTCTAATGCTAGACCAGTCTGCCCAGGGCACCATCCAACCTGGCCTTGAACACCTCTGATGACAGGGCATCCACAACCTCTCTG